CTTGCGATTCATGCAGGACGCACGCTTCAGCAACCCGCCTTCTCGACCTGGTCGCCTGAGCCCGCCTTCCCGACCTGCCCGCGATGGGTCTGCCCACCCGATCGGCCCGTTTGGTTCTACCACTTGTTTTCTGCTCCTTGCCACTCTTCTGCTAACTTCTCTCGTGCTCCAGTCTTCCCCCTCCACCTTCAACCCGTCCTCTCTCCCCTTGTTTTAGGGGCTGCACGCAACGCACGTTGCAGGTAAGGAAGATACACCCCCAAGGGGGTACGATCGAAGACGGCGAGGGCGGGTGCCGAGGGCTCGGGATATACGTATGGATTGGCACGTGAGCAGATAGGAACGAACAGTCTTAAAACGATTGGTGCTGTTGTTGTTGCTGCTGATGTTGTTATGTTGTTGTTGTTGTTGTTGTTGTTGTTGTTGTTGCTGTTGCTGGTGTTGTTGCGCTGCTGAACCCTCAAACAGAAGAATAAGTGTTGTTGATCACCTCTCTGGGGCACATTGTGTTTCCTCAAATGAAGTGCTTCCCCTAGGGCTCGTACCCTGATGTTTAACAGGGAAGGTCTTGGGTCTGAGAATTGGGGTGTTGGCCCCTGGTTTACAGCAACAGCGGCTCCCGCCGAATATTTCCTCACAAGGTATTCCCGAATCGCGCTCTCGCGCGGGACTTCCTCACGAGTTACGCAGGAATCGCGCTCTCGCGTGGGACGTCTTCTCAGCTTATTCAGACGCCGCGCCCTCGACTCTCAGGAATTACGCTCTCGCTGTGACTTTCCTCACGATTTATTGGGGAATCGCCGCGCTGTCGCTCGAGACGTCCTGGCATTGTACCTATTCTTAGGGGAACAAAATGTGACGTAAACATAAAAACTCTGATGTCCGTGCGGATTTCTCGGATCGGCGCTGGACCCCCCTGCTTGGCGCGCGGAGCGCGCCAGGGGCGGCGCCGGAGGCGCCGCCGGGGGGCCCCAGCGCCGATCCGAGAAATCCGCGCGGACTTCCGAGTGTTTATGTTATGTCACTTTTTGTTCCCCTATTGTACCAAATTCCCTAAAAATATTCACAAGTAGTCCAAACATAGTCTGGGGACTATTTTTGAGTTTTCGTTGTACCTTCTGGGGGCATTTTTGGGGTATTTCATTTATTTTTCGTCGAAAATCTCCCTGTAGGGGGACACGCCCGATATAAGCATTTTACCCATTTTTTCCGTACCCCTTTCGGGCGTCCAAACAGGTGGCACGAGGGCCGCAAGGGCACGAGGCAGGGGGCTGCAGCTTCGCTCGCTCGCGGCGAGGTCTCGGGGCCAGACTCTCGCGCTGCACAGGCAGTTTGCGACGGAGGGCCTCTGGCACTCCTCCTCCTCCTCCTCCTCCTCCTCCTCCTCCTCCTCCTCCTCCTCCCCTTCCTCCTCCTCCCTCTCTCCTCCTCCTCCTCCTCCTCCTCCTCCTCCTCCTCCTCCTCCTCCTCCTCCTCCCCTCCTCCTCCTCCTCCTGCTCCTCCTCCTCCGCCTCCGCCTCCCATCCGCCTCCGCCTCCTCCTCCTCCTCCTCCTCTTCCTCCTCTCTCCTCCTCCTCCTCCTCCTCCTCCTCCCCTTCCTCCTCCTCCCTCTCTCCTCCTCTCCTCTCCTCCTCCTCCTCCTCCTCCTCCTCCTCCTCCTCCTCCTCCTCCCCTCCTCCTCCCCCTCCTCCTCCTCCTCCGCCTCCGCCTCCGCCTCCGCCTCCGCCTCCTCCTCCTCCTCTTCCTCTTCCTCCTCCTCCTCCTCCTCCTCCTCCTAGGACCGTCCAAAATCGACTGAGGATGAACAGCTGGTCCTGGGGAATGGGTCCAGACCGCTGTGGAGCCAGCTAGTGAAACAAGTGGCGGAGGATCTCTTGCGGATTTGCCCGTGACTACCGCCTGGGGTATCGATCTTCGGGGGTCTGGGCGGGCCTGAATCTGGATGCATTCAGGCTATACCCACTGACTGCCGAGATCTCCGAAGAACGCCCAGGCGGTGGTTATGGACAATCCCCGCCTCGCTCCCTTCGACAATCCCACCTGTGCCAGATCGACCAAAGAGCACGACACCAACCCACCCACGGCCCTCCATGCTGTGCTGCGGGCCATCGGGGGCTGTAGAGTTGTCGAGGACGATCAATGGAGAGGAAGCATGCTGCCAAATAATTTCCAGGAGCATGTGTCAAACATGTTTTAAGTATGTAACAAGCAGTTTAGAACATGGTCCCTAATTGTAAAGCACATGTTAAATTTAATGGTAGGGCTGTTGGAGTGTCCATTGTCATGGCATCCACAACCTGTAGCGTGTACCACGCAAAAAGCCGACGCCAGATTCCCGTGGATACGCTGAGCTCCGAGGGGCCGTAGGTAGGGTGGTGTCATTCATTTCTGGGTCCACCAGAAGCGCTCCCTGCGCGATGGGCTCTGCCCATCGGCGGCGCCCGAACCTCTCCGCGGCCACCTGCGGCCCCGCGCCGATGCCTGGTGTCCATCCTCCTCCTCCTCCTCCTCCTCCTCCTCCTCCTCCTCCTCCTCCTCCTCCTCCTCCTCCTCGGTGAGAACCATCGAGGAGCATCTTGTAGCATCCTGCAGAGAAGCAGCGCACGACACCGACAAGTGCACAGGAAGTGAACGCTCGAGCCATGGCGAGGAGGGGGGTCAGGGGGAGGGGGGATGGCTTCTCAGAAGGAGGCGCCTTCTCAGAAGGCGCGGGCCTTGCCTATAGATGTAAGGCCGGCGCCTTCAAAGAAACAGCCTCCTTCCATGGAGCCTTCCCCCTTCCCCTGACCCTTATGCGCGCCGCCAACGTTTTGGCTCAAGCTAACGCGACCCTAGCCTCCTGAGAGACGCCGCAGAACTAGCCGGCCTCGTGCTTCCAACCAGGCAGGGCTCGATGCCCGGCCATGGCGGCTCGTCCCGCCGCAGGGAGCGTTCCAGCGGTGGCAGCAGGGCACGATCCCAGTCGACGTCTCGCATGCAGCGGGCAGCTGCGCTCCTGAACGAGCCGGTGGCCCCGTCTGGGTATGGGAAGGACCAGAATGGGAAGAGGTACTGATACCTGATACCGCCACCCTTGCCTCGTTTTCGTTCCTTCTGGCCTCCTGGGAGGCCCTGCTCGCCGACGCTGGATTCGCCTCGAGATTCTGGTCAGAAGGCACCCCGGGAGAGGTCCGGGGAGCCGTGGTATCGGTACCTTTTGGTTTCCCGAAGGAAGTCTCCGGCTCGTTCGACTCAGGCGTGCTCGGGTGCCACTCCGAGAAGAGCGGGGGCGACATATCGAGTGACCTCATGAACCCACGATGGCGCCGCCTGATAACTGCTGTGTCGCGCAGCCTCGCGCAGCGGTTCTCGGACGGAACTTCGGTCTCTGCCAGCGGCAACGCACGGATGATGGCGGAGTTCGTGCACACCGACGCGGTTGGAGGTGGTTCGCAGATGGATTTGTGCCAGTGTTTGAAAGGTGCGCTCGAGGCAATGGAGCTGAGCAGCAAGAGTACAGGTTTTGTCCTCATCGGCGCCTACTACTACCTACAGGCAGAAGACCTGATGCTCACCACCCAGACGTGGCGCTCGCTCGTGGTGACCTCGCTGCTCGCAGCGGTCAACGAGCTGTGCGACCGCGCAGAGCGCGAGCAGGCGATCGGCAAGCTCCGACGTTCTGCGGCGCACTGGTGGTCTGCAGAGAAGGCCGACCGGGCGTTTCAGGTCTTCAAATTGCGCGACGCCTTTGTGCGAGACCCGCTCAGCCAGCAGAAGATCGCCGAACTATATTTCGACCTGCGCGCTCGCTCTCTGGAGACCGCTCCGCTTGACGATTTTAGCAGCTCGGGATTGTCCATCTTCGATTTCGCTCAGGACACAGCGACCAAGAGGAACTCGCATGTCAAGGCCCCGGCGTCGGTCGTGGGCCGCAGCGGAGGTCTTGCCGACCGCAGCAACGAGCGCAGCAACGCCAGCCTGGCTTTCTCGGAATCGAGGAGCCGCAGCGTTCTCGTCGACGGCTACGCGTCCGACGACTCCGTCATCTCCGTTTGACGCGTGCTGTGCTGCGCAGTTCGGTGGGCTCCTCCAGCCATTAGCTACATGCACCCCGAGTTGAATCTCACTTCGTGCCTGCCTGGAGCCCGAGTGCGGCCGCGCGAGCGCCTTGGAGCGCACGTGCTTGGAACCGGAGCTCAATCTGCAGCAGTGCGCAAGTGCATTCGCTGCCCTCACTCTTGGTTGGCAGGGCGACTCGAGGGGCAGGATGGCTAGTGGAAGAGTGGTGGGGAGCGTACGAGCTTATAGTAATGGAGGATGACGATTAATAAATGACCGGGGGTCGTGTTCACGCGGCGGCGCCCGGGATGACGATTAGAAGAACCGGCCGCGGGCTGGAAAACTATGTTTTAAATCGCTCTCCTCCAGTCAGAAAGTTGTGCAGAAATCGCAAAAAAAACATGTATTAATCGTTCTCTCCCATTCTTTTACTAATCGTCATCCCGCATGAGTGGAAGATGGTCGCAACCTGCATTTTTAAGGCCAAGAAGGCAAGAGCCGCTCCCGCTCCTGCCGTTTTAGAGCGGCCTCTGGAATACCGGCCGTGCCGACGCCGCGACCTTCCTCCTCCGACCCCATCCTCCGTGCTCCCTTCTCCCTCCTCTGACTGCACGCCCACTGCCTTCACTCAGGAGGGAAAGAAACACACAGACACAATTAATCGTCGATTTCCCAAAACATCTGGGAAAATATGGGAAGTGGGGGGGGGAAGACAAAAACTCAGAAAATATAGGAAAATATTGGGAATATGTTTATTTGTGTGTATTTATTTGTGTCCCAGGGCCCCTTCATTCACGCTAGATTCACGATGCTCAAGCTCGAAGCATGAGCCTGCGATCCAACTCTTTGCGGATTGGCGCCCCGTGGCCACCTAATTACGGCAGCAGGCGCCGCGCCGCGGGACAGCCGTTTTTCCACACCGCCCCTGTTCCTCGCCTGCTCTTCGGCAGGAGCTTTGGCCCATGCGCGGCCGCCCTCCCCCCGCGGCACGCGCGGGAACGCCGCGGCCTCCCCGGCTCCCGCCTCGGGGCCAGGCGGCGGGCGCCTGCGACGACGGCTGCGCTGGGCGGGCAGCTTGTCTCGCTGGTTGGGTCCGACAGCCGCGCTGGGCTGGCAAGGTCGCCCTCTGCGGTCGGCAACAGATTCAGCGCGTCCTCTCCTGCCTCCGCATCTCTGCATGCGTTGCCGGTGGACCTCGCGTGAGGCAGTCTTCCGGAGATCCGACGTCGCGAAGCCATTTCGGCATCGTGGAGCAGATCCGCCGGGCCGCGAGTCTTTCTGATGCATCTTCCGGGCCAGATCGATCCGTCGTCAGGGTCCTGCTGCCCGACACAGAGCAACATCGCCAGCTGTGAAAACATGTGCCGCCAGGATGTCAGGATTTTCCCTCAGCCCGGGTTGTGTCAGAACGGTTTGATTGGCTTCCTTGTTCGTTTACTCATGGTGTGGGTTTCTCAAAGTTCCGACCCGAAGCTCCAGATCTTCCGGTCCAGATTTCGATTCGGAAGCTCCAGATCCCACGGACAAGTCAATCAATCTATCTCTGGACCCCTCCAGGGTCCATCCTGGCGGACCCGTCTTTCGATGCGGATCCAGCCGTGGCGACGAGACGCCTCCAGCAGGCCCCAAACGGACGAAAAACGCCAGGGATGGCCGCTGTCCCAGATCCCCGACGCTCTCCACGTTTCCACATCGCGGACCCCCAGAGGTCTCGGCCCATTCCCTGGCCTTTCGTTCTAAGCCGCTTTCTGACAGTCCCGGGGCCCTGCGAGAGCCTCCAGAGGGGGTTTGGAAGCCCCTGGGAGTTTTCAGCGTGCGGCCCCAGAGATCCCGCGACCCCTGCCCCAGGGCAAGTTCTACGCCCCGGATCAGTGTTTGATGGTTTCGGGACAAGATAACGGGGCCGACATCGAGAGAAAACGCTCAGATTGCAAATTCGGATGCGGTCGGGAACTTTTTGATAGCGTGTCGCTCCGCCAGATCTGGCCCACCGCGCTGTAGTGCGACGCGCTGTCCATTTCCCCGTCCGCGGGCGTCCATGTGCTGAGCGTTTCCCGGCCTCCCGCGGAGCGACATGCCAGCCACTCGTAAGGCATAGCGCGTCGCTGGGGACGCCGTGGCGACACGTCCTTCCAAAGTTCCCGACCGTAGCCGGAGATCTGTCAGGAGGAAAAAAACAACACTGACATGATTAATCCTCGATTCCCCAGAAAATATGGGATAATATGGGGAGTGGGGAGAAGCCCCGCCGCCTCCTGAGAAGGCCTTCTCCTTTTGTACTTCCCCCCCCTCTCGTACGCCACCGAACAGAGTGGAGGATCAGCGCAGGACTCGGGCCAGGCGAAAGGAGGGGATTGGGAAAAGGGGGGTTACGAAATTTGCTGCATGCAGCTGGTTTCGGCCTCACCGAGGTGCCCATTCCTCGATACATGGGCGCCTCCCGGCGCTGGGAGGCGCCGGGAAAATCAGCTACGTGAGCTGATTCTCAAACCACCCTTTGCTATCCCCCCCTTTCGCCCGACCCGGAGGACAGAAGAACTAGAAGCTGCATGAGCATGATTCGTTGGAGCGGCGCTGTGCCTCCTCTGCGCGCGGAGCGCGGCAGGGGCGGCGCAGGCGGCGCCGCCGGGTGGTCGGGCGCCGATCCAACACATCCGCGCAGGCATCCGAAAGTAAATGGTTGCGCAGTGCTCTGTTCTTCTTTGGGACCCTCCTGTCCTCAGGACCCAGCCCTCGGGGCCCAGTCCAGCGCCGATGCAATGAGTCCCCGCGGACCTCCGACGATTCGTGTTTCTGCCGCTTCGTATTCCTCTATACTACCCCTCGCCTGCCGTGATCATGGAATGCCCGAGTTTTCAGGTCGCGAGCGAAGAGATCGGTCGCTACCGATTTTGCTTCACAGTCCGGTATCGGTCGCGACCGATTTGCTTCGAGATCGGTTGCGACCGATTGCTTCGAAATCGGTCGCGACCGATCGGTCGCTACCGATCGCGACCAAAAAAGATCAGTATCCAGTGATCTGGGACGGCCCCCACGCCACCTCGCCTGCGCCTGCCCTGCCTCGTCCGCTGACCACTGAGGAGGAGGAGGAGGAGGAGGAGGAGGAGGAGGAGGAGGAGGAGGAGGAGGAGGAGGTGGAGGAGGAGAGGAGGAGGTGGAGGAGGGAGGGGGGGAGGAGGGGGGGGGGGAGGAGGTGGAAGAGGAGGAGGAGGAGGAGGAGGAGGTGGAGGAGGGAGGAGGAGGAGGAGGTGGAGGAGGGAGGGGGGGGGGACCGAGGAGCAGGAGGTTGAGGAAGAGGGAGGGGGGGGGGGAAGGCATGGGAGGGGATGGGTACTGCCCCGCGCGGGGGCAGCCTCAGGGCGTGCCAGAGACCAGGAAAAGCTACAATTCGTTGCAGACGGCGCCGTGCTACTCAGGAGGAGGAGGAGGAGGAGCAGGAGCAGGAGCAGGAACAGGAGCAGGAGCAGGAGCAGGAGCAGGAGAAAGATGAGGAGGAGGAGGAAGAGGAGGCGGAGGAGAGGAGGAGGAGCAGGAGAGTGGCGAAGGATGATGATGATGAGGAGGAGGAGGAGGAGGAGCAGGAGAAGGATGATGATGATGATGATGATGATGATGATGATGATGATGATGATGATGATGATGATGATGATGATGATGATGATGATGATGATGATGATGATGCTGATGATGATGATGATGATGATGATTGATGATGATGATTGATGATGATGATGATGATTGTTGTTGATGATGATGATGATGATGATGATGAGGATGATGATGATGATGATGATGATATGATGATGACGATGATGATGATGCTGATGATGATGATGATGATGAGGAGGAGGAGGAGGAGGAGGGTATCCTGAGGGCCCCATCCGTCGGCATCCAATCCCAGACATTTGGAGTGTCGATCTGTTCTGGACGCAGGCCCCCGACCTTTCGACCATTTCCCTGGGACCGGTGGTTCATCCTGAGTCGTTCTTTAACTGTCACACGGCCCCAATGAAAACCCCCCAAAACCAAAATTTGTTGAAAACCTCCACCCCGGTTTCTTCGAGTCCCTGGATGTCCGGGATGACCTGGGTATCCCCTGGGCCCCCCCCCCCCCCCTCAGGGCCCCATCTCTGAACCGCCGACCCTCCGCACCCCGCCCCTCTCTCGGCGCGATCGGAATGGGTACGGAGACAACGGGTACACAAAGTCCAACGGTCTCCCTTGCTCACTCTGAGCAGGCCTCGTTGTTGGCGAGGCCACGGTCGTTGTCCATGTGAGACAGGGACTAGGTGAAATCGTGCCCGTCGTGGGGCTGGAGCCCGTCGTGGAGCTGAGATGGAGCTGGAGCCCGTCGTGGGGCTGGAGCCCGTCGTCCTCGAGCTGGAGCTCGGCGTGGAGCGCGTCGTGGAGCTCGCGGCCGTCCTGGAGTTGAAGCCCGCCGTGGAGCTCATCACGGAGCTTGGGCTCGTCGCGGAGCTGCCCGCCCAGGAGCTGGAGCTCCGCCACGACCAGGTTGGCCATGAAGGGCGGCCTTGCGGTAGGCCCCACGCGCTCCGCGGCGGGGGCCGCGGCGAGCACCCTCTCCGTGACGACCAGCGCCACGACAACGGGCTCAAGTTCCGAGACGATTTCCACGACGACGGGCTCCACGTCCAAGAACGCCACGAGCTCTAGCTCCAAGACGACGAGGCCCCTCAGAGTTCCTGCCCCATGATGGCCAGCTCCACGAGGGCGGCCTCCAGCGCCGAGACGATGCGGTCCCCGATGTGCCCCAGCGCCCTGCCGAGCTCCGCGACGAGCTCGAGCTCCAGGATGGCGAGGTCCCCGAAAAGCCCCACCTTCGTGTCGAGCCCCGAAGAGAGCTCCAGGCAGCGCCGTGACGGGCAGGTCCACGGCGACCAGCTTCCGCTCCAGGGCGGCAGGGTTCGCGACGTGCCCCCCCGCTCCGTGACGGGCAGCTCCACGACGCCCTCCAGCTCCAGGACGGCGCGGTCCGCGACGACCCCGAGCTCCATGACGAACCCTGCGACGAGCTCCCGCTCCGTGGTGACGAGGGCCACGGCGGGCCCCATCTCCGCGGCGAACGCCGCAACGAGCACCACGGCCGCGCCACGGCCACCACGAGCCTCGCGACGAGCTCCGCGGCCATGACGAGTGCCCCCACGACCAGCGCTGCGGGCGCTTCCGTGCATGGCTCCGCCTCGTCCCCCTTCGTCTCGGGGCCGCCCGCCGCGAGGGTCGGCTCCGCGGCGGCGTCTAACAGCCTCGCGGTGAGCTCCGTGGCCATGACCAGCCCAGCGGGCGCTACTGCGCCTGGCTCCGCATCGCCCCCCTTCGGCTCAGAGGCGTCCGCCACGCGGGTGGGCTCCGCGGCGGTGTCCTCGGTCGCGGCGTGCTCCAGGTCCTGCAAGCTGCGGTCCTCCGCGCTCGTGAGGCCGTGCGGGCTGTCCGCCGCCTCGCCCTGCCGCTCCGACCCGAGGCTGGCGGCCGCGCGTTGCGTGCCCAGCGCGGTGGCCTCGAACGGCCTTGTTGCGCTGCTGAGCGGCGTGCGGGCCGTGTGCGCCGCGATCCGCTTGGCCACGCACGGCACATCGGCGGCCTCGCGCCTCGCGGGCTCGGGCTCGGCCGTCCCCGAGGTGGCCCTGCCCGACAGGCCCGGGCAGCGCGGCGCCGTCGGGCGCCTCGGCTGCTCGGGGGCGGGCCGCCCGCCGCGCCTCGGGCACCGCGCGCGCGCCCAGGGCGGCGGCCGATGGCCGCGCCTGCCGCCCTGCGCCCAGCGCGGCCGCGCGAGCGTGTCGCGGCGCTGGGGCAGGGCCGAGCAGCGGCTCTCCACACTTCGCCACCGCGGCGTCGGCGGCGCGCACGGCCCGCGCTCGCGCTGCCGAGCGTTCAGCGCGGGTCCGTTGTCGCCGTGGGTCCGTTGGGCAGCCAGTGACGGCCGCCGCCCGTGTCGCACTCCATCCCATGCGGAGCGCCAGTCTCAGCGCGAGGGACGGCCAGCCTGCCGCAACACTCTCGAGCCAAACCTACGATGATGCTGATGATAGCGATGCTGATGATAGTGATGATGATGATGATGATGATGATGATGATGATGATGGTGATGATGATGCTGATGAAGATGATGATGGTGATGGTGGTTGTGGTGTTGTTGGTGGTGATGCTGATGATGGTGCTGATGCTGATTATGATGATGACGAGTCTGATGACGATGCTGATGACGACGATGATGGCGATGATGATGTTGATGCTGATGCTTATGATGACGATGCTGTTGATGCTGATGATGATGATGATGATGATGATGATGGTGTTGCTAATGATGCTCATGATGATGATGGTGTTGCTAATGATG